GAAGTCGCCGAAACGTCAGCCATCGATCAATAACATCAAAAACAACGACAACGACAACGATGATCTGTACCAACCTCGCATCAGCTTAAGAAGATCAGTTTATAAGATCTCATAAATAAATATATCAACTTTTTGATTGCTATGGGTGATTGCTATGGCAAAAAGATCGATAGAAATAGCTGAGAGACGTGCGAAACAAAGGACCCGCATGGTGTGGTGGTGAACGCGTTACTCCCCGGAAAGGACAATAGCGCGTTCGTTCCCCACCATAGACACCTGCGGTCCAGAGTTTTGCAAATATCTCAGCAACGTTGTGGTTATATCAACTTTTTTTGATATGATTATCTGTTAATAATGATTTGTTTTCCAATGAATAATCCATTTTGCAGCAGTCGGTATCTTGTCAGCTAGCACATACCGAGTCGCAGTCGCTGGGTGAATATGGCTCATTAGAGATGCTCAACTGACGAACATCCGGTTCGATGCGTGATGAAGACGCCACATCGAGAAGAGGAATAACTGTGGACCATCAACAAGGATTGTTGGCTCTGATGAAGTCGAAGACGTCGAAACGTTAGCCGAATAAAAATCTCTATCAACCTCCTCTAAGCTCAATAATATAAACACTTAATGGTCAGTGTTGAGGTTATTAGAGAGTCGCTCTTGGGATCTGCTGATTCAATACATTGGTGTGAATTTGGTGGCAATACATTGGTAGGCCACCGTAGAGCCTCCTTAGAGATTGACCATCGGCGAAGGTTTTACCTTCTCTTTATTTGTACAGTTGAAAATTGGCAGGAAAAGCTTCTCACTTCCCACGTTTGTGTGTCTGCATGTTTTCAAGGTATGTGTGTTCTTCAATGTTCCACCTGGTTTCTTTTTAGGCTACGTTCGATTAAGGTTTTGTATAATTTGTTATACTCGTTAATGTCTGATATCTCATCGACTGATCAATACACATTCCCACCAATTTCTAAAGTTCTTTATCATCTTAAAGTGTAAAAGACAAAATAAGCAAAACCTTTTCCACGTACCTGTCAGCTAATCTAGGATCCGTCTGGTGCTACTACATACATCCTTCCCTTGAGTTGAGCTAGTGCTTAAAAGGATAAATAAAGGATAAAGCTCTCGGCGTTGATCAGCCCCTGAAAGGTGCGCCATGTATTCGACTTCACTGAACATCGTTGGAGGTGGCCGAATGCATATCTGGCTTTTGCAGTGACTCGCGGTGGCCTACCGATGTATCGAGCCAGTGTTGCTATCCTCCCAAACAAGTTTGGTACCAATTTACCGATCCTGGAGGGATGGAAGACTTGGTGAGCCTTTGGTGCAGAGTCGATCCCATGGGTATTGCAGAGCGCCTGTGACCACTGCGCTATTCATGAGTAGCTATTTTCCAGGGAATATTTTAAGTGAATGCCACGTTTCTGTTAATTACCAGCTTGTTTCCCTGACTTTTCATCCTCTACACAAAGACGTCCATGTTCTCTACTGGTGCGTGCGCTTATTGCTGTTTCAGGGAGTCATTCGTCTTCAAATTCGTTCCTACTGTTATCCACATTGAATTTTCAATCTGGAAATATACGCATATTGACTCGAAATTTGTCCCATTTTGTGTGCAAATTGTGATTTATTTCAACGCAAATGGTTTAGAGGTGAAATGGAATACACTCATAGTCAGTTTCAATCCTTCACCCTGAATCAACCAAGCCCTCCATCTCGCCGAGGTCGGAGTTCATACGAAAGGCCTGGGTGGGTTAAAGAAGCCCTGACCTGGTACGGCATTAGACCCTCGTTATATCAGTATATGGTCCAAATATCTATTCAACCACCTCTACCGTTCTTAACGAACTCCAGCGCCTGGCGCAGCCTTCGGGGATTACATCCAAAGGCAAACGCTTTATCTTCTCCAATGTTACGTAATTCTCACATTAATACCGGACCACATAGACCTCGTAAGGGTTCTGTTTGAAGCTAATCATTAGTTATTTCATAGCAGCAGCAGCATCAATCGATTTCCCACCGAGCTTCTTCCAATGAGGATTACAGCTTACCACTTCATTTCACTTCATAAATTCAATTATCCATGTTTCAAACTGAACAAGAGGAACCGTGATGAATTTCCTTTTAGAATTGCTCCCGGTTTGTGTTGCAAATTAGATCATCAGTTCCAACTAGTTCTGTTCAGCTTTTTGCCGAAACCACAGTAGAATTACTCAATGAGAACTATTTTAGTGAAAAAACTACGACACAAGAGCATTCAATTTTATTATGAACATACACTTCAAGTAATTTTACATAACATGAAACTATCACCGATAGCAAGAATCCGAATAGACTATACGATTTATAGGAGTTGAGGCAAACATCAATAGGGATGACATCTTGGTCAACTAGTCGAAGAACTATGACTGAAACTATTGACCACTGATGTGCATTTGAGCAATAGCCTATCCCAGCATTAGTTCATTAGAGATAACTGTGAAATCGATGATGAATTATGATATTCAGGCACTCCATTATAACAAATCTGATATAGCTCTTTAAACTTCTCACTAAACGTAAGCTCTAGAATTAACATCACTACATTAGTGCTAGGAAACCATCAACGTGATCACCTACTGAGCTCAAGTTCGTCGCACGTTTGTCATCCTTATCGTTAGGATGACAATGGCAACGTTACGCGACGTGCTTGATAAAATTGACCGTCAACTAACACCTATGTAAAAAATAATACAGAAACTAAACGGCAACACGACACGAACGACAAAAAGCAAATCCTGTCGTTTCTAACAACAATGATGCTTGACATAGTGTATACATACGTGTTCCAAGTGCTCAGATGAATTCAGTTCCTCTTCTTCTGCAACTGCAGATCGGCAGGTGGTTCCACTAAAACCTGCTTAATGAGCATAACAAGTGGAAGCTTCCAATTTCGTGGATACCATTACAAAAACACATGCCATGTGTACGCATACCGAAACATGGTTCGTGCATAGTTACAATATCCAACTTTGAGGTGAATTGAGTTTCTACCAAATTTTCTCGTAATAGTTGACGTACACTTATATGACATCACATTGACGAATTTCGTTAAATCATGCTTCACATCGACAAAGAAACAAACATGCAGATTTGGATTTGCAAACAAAATTAAGATTAATACGTATAGACATACCAACATGCGTGCATAACGGACGGCACTTATATATTACCTTTTAAGAAGTTCCAAAAGAATTCCATTTTTGAAGAGAAAAACTCATGCTATATGTATTACAAATACGCCCGAATAACTATTTATACGGCTGTTATTCTTGATGCTATAAGGAACACATCACACAAGAAATTCTTTGTCTATAAATAACTATAATTCAGTTCAATCATTATTAGGTTAAGGTCAAGGTCATTATTAAATCAAGTAAAACAAAAGAAGACACAAAATATTATTCTATAAAAACGAACAAAACATCGCAGAAGTGCATAACAAAAGTAGAGACCACCTGACAGTTTGGTCGCTTCACACTCAGGATATCACAAGCAGGTATGGGGAAACAATTACTGGTGACCGAAATAAATATTGTAAATATGCCATAAATTTTGTAACTAGATAATGACGAGATTAGAGACACAAAGTCGACGGAAATGAAAAGGAAAACAACATTAACGGATTGTATCGAGAACACAGATCAACGAAATAATAGGTGAAAAGTGAAGAGGAAGACGGACAAAATCCCGCAACAAAGCACCCGAACGCTATAAGCTCGGACTGCCAGATAAGTAGGGGTTGCAGAACGAAGGATAGCGATAACCTCATAATCAAATGCTCATTTATGTATGTGAATTAATGCTAGTATTGGGAAGGCGCTATAAACCCCTGACTTTCGCGGATAGCGCATGAGCAGCTTTTGGAATAAGAGCACAACACAGATGATACCTCCTATATAGGTCTGTTAACAACAGCACTCCATTCGGTTAGTAATAAGAAGGAAACACACACGTCATCAAAATGAATCAGCAAAATATTAAGACCCTATAACTCGTTATGTGTTGTCATAGTGGCGCCACCGAAAGCACGCTCGATCGCTTTTGCATATGGGCCCAATATCCAGCCAAAATATGCACACCAAACAGCTGCGAGACCGGCTAACGATATGATGGCTCGCAAATTGCTTGTGCTTGTAGCCGGCTTACCGTCGATGTAATTGCGTGCGATGAACTTAAGAATCTCGTCGAGAAATAGAACAGGTACCGAGATCTTTAATACTGCTACCCATTCTGCGAGACATAACGGTGTTATCTGTAAACTCATTTCTTGAACTACTCACGAAAATAAGGAAAAAAGAAGTTTAGTATTATCTTACTTGGAAAATAGTAGCCATAATATCAACATAGAGAATGACGAAATGAAGCGACATCGATAAAGCTATGGCGGCACACAACCATACGTTTTTCCACGGCGGCATGACAAGTAGTGATTGGTTTTCGGATAACCTAGGCAGCGACCGATCTCTTATTTCATAAAGTTCAATTGCTTAAGCAATATGTCGACATAAAATAAAGATTACTAACGAATTAACTGCGTTTAGCATTTCAATTGTCACAAGAACAGAAAGCGCCATAGCATTTGGATGGTTATCTTCAAATACAGCACAGTCCAAGTCAACAAAATTTTCAGGCTCGATCTAAAACAACATCGTGAAGTTTCCGAATTACTGATCGTATTTAAGACTAACCTCGCATCTCATCCAATGAGTTAGCTGATAGTACGTGATTTGAGGTCCATCTTCATAAAGAAGGAACCACCACATCGACGCCCCAACAGTCGCAACTCCGACATAAGCTGCAAAACATCAATTGAAATACTGATATCCACCATCAGAGAAAAAAGTACAAAGAACACTACTCACTTCCAACTGCTAAATAACGGAAAAACAGCCACTTTGAAATAAGACCATCGTTTGCGGACCTCGGATGACGCTCCATTATATCCAAATCAGGTGGGTTGAAACCGAGGGCCGTTGCGGGTAAACCATCAGTGACCAAATTTACCCATAAAAGTTGAACAGGGATGAGGGCTTCTGGAATGCCGAGGGCAGCCACCACAAAGATTGATACGACTTCTCCAACATTGGATGAGATAAGATAACGGATAAACTGTTTCATATTGTTGTAGATAGCACGTCCTTCTTCAACAGCTGCCACGATTGAAGCAAAGTTATCATCAGCAAGCACCATTTCAGAGGCAGATTTAGCAACAGCTGTTCCAGATCCCATAGCGATTCCAATTTCTGCCTTTTTCAATGCAGGAGCATCATTCACACCATCACCAGTCATCGCGGTGATCTGCGAAATGAATATTTTAAACACGAAGATTTTGGATTGACACAATTGCAAATCATTAAAACTTGGAAACCAACCTCTCCATGACTCTGCAAAATGTCTACAATTTTCGATTTGTGCGAGGGTTCAACACGAGCGAAGAGTTTTGCTCGCCGACAAGCTTCAGACTGCTGCTCTGGCGGCAGATCGTCAAATTCTCGTCCAGTAAACGACTAAAAATAAACTGGATAATCAGAAGTTATGAAAACGTATGTACGTTTACGAACAATCCCAGTAGTATCCTCGTCCTCTGTGAAAAGACCAATACGTCTGCCAATAGCTTCTGCGGTGTTCTTGTTGTCACCAGTGATCATGATAACACGAATACCAGCATGATTACAATCCCTGATTGATTTCAGCACCTAAGACTCGTTTTGCTTATTGTATACTGATAGATTAGATTGCATATTGTTTTTCAAATCATACCTCAGTTCGAGGAGGATCGAGCATTCCAACTACACCCACAAAGGTAATATCGCGCTCATATTTATTAAACTGCGACGATTCCTCGAGGTTCATGTTCTGTGGTGATACCGGGTTGTCTATAGTCCCAAGAGCCAAGCAACGAAGTGTGTCTCGTCCAGTACCGTACTGCACACATTTCTCAACAATTTTCTGAGTCATGGCGGCAGTAAGAGGTACTTTTTGGTTGTTCACGCGAACATGGGTACATCTACTAAGGACTCCTTCGGGTGCACCTTTCACAAACATCTTAGCATGTGAACCACCAGTGGCTGGGACGCAGTATGAAGACATGGATTTCCGATCACGAGAGAATTCTAGTGTGAACTCCTAAAATAAAACTTACTTACAAACTAAATTTTAAACCAAAAGTATTTTAAATTGGGAATTGATCAATGTGTCTTATGTAGAAGGCTGTCCAGCATCCACCTTTTTCCATTTCTGCTGAATGACGCGATTACAAACATTTCCCAAGTCACGTGGAGACAGGCCAGATTTCGGTGTACCATAGACGTTCATCTTTTCAACAAGAACAATGAGAGCAGTTTCAGTGGCTTCTCCAACCTGTAATTACGGTAAATACGAAAGTGATAGAGGAAATCACATAACATAAAAAGTTTTCGCACTACCTTCAATTTTATATAAACCTGGTTCAAAAAGCAAAAAAAAACCAAGTGTGTACATAGAACAAATCGCCCGAGATGCAATAATGCACTTCACGACACGTTCCAAACAACTGTTTTGGAAAATATGCAGACATTTTCTGTGTTAAAGCACTTTTTTGAGTCTGTGGAAATGTGTCTGTACTTATAACAAGTTTATCTTTAACCCGTGTTTCCGACGATTCTATGATCTCCTGAAAGGAACACCTTATGTTGACTCTGAACAAAGTAGCTTTTCCAACAATTCCGTTTTCAACGTAGGAACCTGGGCATACAGTAACTGAGCCAACTATAAATTCAAAAAAGGTTTAAGAAAAACCACCATAAGAAGTTTCAGTTATCACGGAACATTCAAATCTGGTATGAACGTGGCAAGAAGGCCTGATATTGAAGCATGAAAATTTGAACAAAATAATCTAGATTATAATCCCTAATAAATTACTGAGTCGATGATTCCAAAGGAAAATTTTAAAATCTTTCGTCCTTGAATACATGAAGATATTATGCAAGATCTAAAAGCTTGACAAAGCAACGTCCCATTGTCTCATGAATGGTCTAACGGATCTTAAAATGAATTCGACTTTACTTGAATTACAGTTAGATTAAATTCTTTTTTGTTAGATTAAACTTAAACATTCGCGATATTTTGGACGGATAGTGTCTTTGCCAAACAGCATGCATACATGTATATATCTTACCAAAAAAAGAAATTTTTGGAATGCTCTGCAAAAACCTTTTCCTGACAAGTGCATAGTGCGGCAATTTGAATAACAACTTGTCGTTATTTCACTTTAAGCGCTATGATAGATAATGGCTATGCTGGAATGCGTGGATATAAAAAATACTGAAAAAGATCCAACATTATCTGCAAAACCCTTTCAAACACTGACAACTTGCAATCATATCATTCACAGCTACAGAGCGATAGAGTAAAGCCTCTTCTACAATTTTCCCATATTCGAAACCCCTAAAGCACTCCAGTTATTGAAAACTTGTTTTCTATTGCTAAAAACCATCATGAACACAGAAGCTGAAAATTTGGAGTGCTTCCAAGCAGTGGGACGAAAAATTAAGGGTCGTTACGATTGATAACTGTCAATAAGTTCCCAACAAACAGAATAATTGAAGTGTTCAACACTTGAAATCGGCGAATGGCTTTCCTAAATGGTTTCTCTTTTCAATTTCTAAACTTATATATAGGTCAAATTCAAAAAAGGAACATATGAACACATTCCACTTTTTTAAAAATGGATGCAAATAAAGTAGCAAACGATAACTATTAACGGTAGAATGAAGATAACTATTGTGTGCGGTCCTATGACATCTCTAGGATTCTATTTCGACGTTCGAAATACGAAAGAAAAAAAGAAAGTAAAAAACGTGTAATAAGCTCCAAGAAATCAGAAGCTTATTGTTGCAAGATAGGAAAAGATATGTTTTGCAAAAATCTGTAAACCAAAATTGAGGACGTTTGCTATGAACTCAGACATAACTGTTCAAAGCTGAGAGGCACAATTAATTTCATAAGCCCTACACTATACATTGAAAAAACAATGCATAGATTTAGAACGAACGAGATACCGAATCCCATTACAAAACTCTTTCGATTGCAGGAATTAAAAGCTTCATGAAAACAAAGTTTATAATTTTGTATGAGGCTGTCAATAAGGTGTAAACTAGAGCGGTACGTACATCGGACGCAAATTTTAATTTTTAACCGAACTAAGGGTGTACAAATATGAACCACGGATAGCGCTAATATTTTTCTGATCATCAGATATAAATAGAAAATGGAATAAAATTGTACCACTAAGAAAATGGCTGTCAAAAAAATGGATGACACAGAACCATTAACCTCAAATGATACAAACCTTCTCATATACTTTCTTAGTGTCATTGTAGTCAACCGCTGAATCATTACACATAGCACAAATGGTGGCTAGCTCGGTAAGTGCATCGAAATCTCCTCCAGCACAATTGACCTGAAACATGCCACGACGGCTACACATAGCATCAGCAGAAGTCGAGGAAACAATACCTCTTTTCCCCCGAAAAAGACCTTCCCAGAGGGCTCATAGGTTGACCCAGATATGGTGAACTCATTAAAGTTGATATTATCGTTTGAAGCTGATTCAGCAATGAACATTTTCGATACTGACATCTGGTTTGTTGTTAATGTTCCAGTCTAAAAAGCAAACGTTTTGTAGAACTTGCCTCTCACAGCCAAAGGTAAGTGAAAATAGGCCAAATTTACCTTATCAGAACAGATGACGGAAGTACAACCAAGAGTTTCGACAGAGGGCAACGACCGTACAATAGCATTCTTTTTCGCCATACGTCGGGTGCCGAGGGCTAGACAAGTGGTTATAACAGCTGGAAGGCCTTCAGGAATGGCAGCAACAGCAAGAGCAACAGCAATCTGTGTTGTTCAACAGTAACTTTTAACACTACATCACTAGAAAATATAGGAACAAACCTTAAAATAATAAATAGCTCCCTTAATCCACGAGCCTCCATGTGCAGGATCATTGAAATGACCTATGTTTATAGCCCACACAGCGACACAGATGATCGAAATAACCTAGAAATAACAGGAGTCAACGGAAACGGATTCCTTACCAATTATTTCGACTCTCAAAAAAACTTTCATTTAGTTGATGATCTACCTTATCGGAATGAAAGATTAGCAAGGAATATTTAAGACAATCACCTTCGACAACTGTTCGCCAAACTCATCAAGTTTTTGTTGAAGTGGGGTCTTCTCAGATTCCGTCTCTGCCATTTCAGTACGAATCTTCCCAATTTCAGTATCTAACCCAGTACTGAACACTATTCCGCGTGCCTAGACATAATTGTTTCTTTCAAATCAGATGTAGCCTCTGCTAGAAAAATAACTCGAGGCTCACTTTTCCAGAGGATACATTTGTTCCTGAAAAAAGGCAGTTCTTCTTATCTTGATTTACAGCACGGGGATCGGGAACAGAATCGGTGTGTTTGATAACAGAAACTGATTCTCCAGTAAGAATAGATTGGTCAATACGTATAGTTGTCGAGTAAATCTTCAGTAGCCGAAGGTCAGCGGGAATCTTGTCTCCTACTAAAATGAAGCACTTTTTTATATTTCCTCAATGGGAAAAACCAAAGTTTTTCTTATTAACTTATTCATTACGATTTCGACAACAAAATTTACAATCAGTGCTCAACCGCATTCAACCACAATGTCTATAAGAAACACTCCAGCCCACTTACCAGAAACTTCAACGATATCTCCAGGCACTAGATCGCGTGCTCGTACCATCTGAATGCCTTGTACCCCCGATCGAACGACCTTGGCCATTTCAGGTTCATATTCTTTCAAGGCCTCTATAGCTGATTCAGCATTCCGTTCCTTAATGATACAATTAACTTCAGAAGCGAATGTTACAGAGACTTCACTGAACTAGGTCAGAAATTGACATTATCTGAGTCTGGAATCAGCGCTTAATAACTGTCAAAGACCCAAAAACTCGAAATTTCATTCCAATATATATTCTCAAACGAAAATTTACCGCACCTGCCAAACTCCAACCGTGGCGTTAGCTATAAGAATGAGTAGGATAACAAAAGGTTCAACGAAAGCGGTAACAGCAGCCGTTTGATCATCGTGTTCTTCGAATAAAGCTAGAACCTAAAAATATTCGAAATAACATCTACATTAAAACGAAAAGATAGACAAGCTTTAGGTCTTTAGCGAAAAGAGAGATATATTACTTTCTATACTTCCAAACCCATACTTTGAGACGGGACAAAAGAACGTCTAAAACACCAAACGTCAAGAAGATCTTAAACGTAGACATTTGCTAGGGAAGCACAGCTGTTCAACGATGGTTGTGAGCAGTACGAGCAAACACAAGCTAAGCTTCAATAAGATTTCTAATGGAAGATCCAGATGGAAGATTTATTATGGAAAACCTATTAAATGAAGTAAATACAGAATGTTAACGTTTTTATTTACTGCCTATAACAACTTCTCACGGAAAAGTATATCTGCAAAACTTCGGACCGCAGGTGTTTGCGCTGGGGAAAGAACGCGCTATTACCCTCTCTGGGGAGTAACGCGTTCACCACCACACCATGCGGGTCCTTCGTTTCGCATCCCTAAATACGGAGGGTTCGATTTACGGATTAGAAACAAATGGAGACAAAAGTTTCGCACCACTTCATGAAATAAATAACGGGAAAAGAAGGATAAACAAAAAAACCTTGAAGTAATGCGGGAAAAACGGGATTAAGCAGAAATACGGAAAGTTATTTTCACTGAAAAGAAACTGAGCAAACGCATTTGGAAACGAACTTACAAAGGAAATTATGGCAGCCATGAGGAGAATTTTTACAAGGAGATCATCAAACTGTTCCAAAATCAGTTCCCAGATTGACTTCCCCACTTCGGCAGGCATTTCTGTAATTCTCAAACATTTCCTCCTAAACGATAACATACTACCACTAACAGCAGGAATTTGAATGAAAACAGGAATAACCCTGAATCAAAACCTTAATTTAAATTACGGTCGAAACCTACGGATTGAATAACCTTCCTTCTGACAAATGTCAAGGTTTTCGCATCTTCGTGGCGATTAAACAGAGTCAAAACTTTGCTTGACATTCCCGTGAATACAAATATTACACAGCACCTCGAACAAATATTTGCAAAGAAATATCACAGAATATGTGACAATGGAAATTCAGCAGGTACTCGTTTAAGAACTATGAAGCTAAAACGATAACGCTCTCGGCGCTGATTAATCCGTGAGGGATGGGCCAAGCGTTCGACTTCATTAAGTTCCGTTGGAGATGAGTTAATCCGTATCCGGCCTTAACAATTACTCACGGTGGCCTACCGATGTACCGAGCCGGTGCTGCTATCCTCCCAGACAAGCCTAGTTCCAATCTGCCGAACCTGGAGTGATGGCAGGCTAGGTGGGCAGGGCTCGCGGTGATAGATTCCATGTGTATTGCGGGGCGCCTCCGACCAATACGTTACATGCGCTACTTTGCGAACTACAGGCTTATATAATTGTTTGACAGAACTTAATAAGGATCAATGGTATGCGAAAATCCGTTAAATAACACACTTTCCTAAATCAAATATACAATTAAAACCTGACAAAAACTAACCATTGAATCCATACTTCTCCCTCTGCTTTGCAACCTGTGCTTCCGTCAATCCATCCGGACCCACATTAAAGAAGCGACAAACCTGTACATTTCCCAAGTAAGACAGTCAAGAAACAAGTACAAAAAAAGACTTCTGGAATAGAGCCGTGAAATAAAAATGTACCTCCTCGCCAGACTTCGTATGTGCGTCTTCCATGTTGGCGCTAATTCACCCAAGTGGATCCGATACCCTCCGTATCTTAGGAAAGTTCAATTCAAGCAAAGATGTATATTGTGATTATGGGACCATTAAAACCGATATAAATACGAACACTAAAACGTGAATTCAGTGAAACGGCGGACCATTTAAAATAGCATGAACCATGCGAACTTGATGATTTCAAGATGACAAGCAAAACGGAGGTAGCTGTTGTGAAAATATGGATAACGTAGTAAATTCCAAAGTAGAGATCAAAACCAACAGGGTATGAATAAGTGGGGCCGAGCCACGATGGCCTCAACCATCGTCAGCATTCGATTTACGGTAAATGCGCTCCAGGACCGGTTCGACATCCATGCACATGCCTACCCTTTAACATTTTCTGAATGGAAATAGTATAAGAGTAACTGGATGCTTCGAGTTTTTGAGTGAACTCGGGGTTATTGGTTGTTGCATGGGGAAGCCTGCCATGGCGGTGTGTGTTGGCGCGCTAAATCGTGTTGGGCGGCGCGTCGAAAAGCCAACTGTCCCATCGGATCCCCATCATCCGTCCGCAAAAGAGAAATAAAAACAAAAGCAAAGACACTCCGCTAATGAAGATACGTCTGAATATCTGCCCCAAGTAAAAGTAGGTAAGAGTAATGTTATGCCCATGCAAATCAATAATTCTTCTGGATTCAGGAAAGTCTTTAGAAACTGATGGGAGAAAATTTCCAGTCTATTGGAATACTTTTAGTACTACCGTATTTTCGAGCAGATAAAACCATTGAAAGGAAGTATTGAATAGATTCAGACGAGAAGCTGGGCCGACGCGACAAACAACTGGCAGAGGGAACAATTCTATGATCCCACAGCAGTAGCTCCGCCTTCGCGTCAATGAAAAGCATCTGCGGAACAATGGCACTTCTCCCCAAGTCGAAGATATCTGCATAAAGCAAAGGTACACTAGCACAGTAACAGACCTTAATCAATGTCATAACTACTCCATTCGAGCTAAGAATATGCCCACTAGTTCAAGTGATTTTGAGGACCTACAGAATTTTCATGTTGGAAGAAAATAAACAACACTTTCGAAGTACTAGTAAAAATCACGCCCTACCACCTTCCGAATGGGCAGTGATGTAAAGGAGAAGAATTGTCTGCATTGTGGATGCGACTAAGCTTCTGTGGAGCAAATTTTGCTCTCAGCGATAGACAACAATATGGATAACCTTCCGAGATCCACACAGTGAATAAACCTTTCTCTGGTTGGAAGCGATCGATATTATACCTTATATTAGAAAGTCAATCGTTTCAAGGCAAGCAGAAGAGCTCGAGATAGGCAGGAAAAATGATGTTTGACGCCGCACCATCATAATGTTAGACCACATTGACTTGGAACACAAGCCTTTGTTGATTCTTATCAAGAATACTTTTTTCGTGTTCAAACAGGTTTACATTCTGTTGGAGTATATACTGGCACATTCTGCACGAAGTGTATAAAACGAACGAGCACAAGAGGGATGTGCTGTCGATTGGAAATGGGTGGTCGAGAGATTTAAACCATCACCGTTTTCTAAACCCATCTAAACCTTAGTAGCACTTCGACACCGGCTGAAGAGATTAGGGTTGCACTTAGGCTGGATACCATCAGTGAACGGCGAGCAAGTTTTTGTCAACCACTTGAAAAAGCGTAACGTAAGTTGAGAAGATTTGCACTGCTCTAGGAGTTCGAACAAGCCCGACGACATGGAGAAGGCACTCGGCTTCGCTCAAGTCACCATTACCCACATCTCAGCTCGTTCGGCTATCGCAAAATTCAACCACAATGATCTTGAGATATTAGCAAAACTGGCAACCCCAGTTAAGCTTCGAACCTACGACTATCCTTCCTGGGGACTCACGTGTTATCCACTGCACCAACCGAGGCCTTACTTTGCCTTTCTCTCCATTTCTTTCCAGAAATCGTAAAATAACTCCCCACTTGACGTCCTTCACTCTGATCGAAAACGATGGAACATTGTTACTTCATTCAGAAGTAACAGCTGGATCCATAAGAATAGCAACAACCGTCACCTTCCCATTCTATAGTAGAGAAGGCTTGCTAGCTCAACTGAAATCCGATCCACACGATCGCTAGCTTAGCTCACTCCCCCAATAATAATCATATGATCTGGGAGTTATTGAAGCGGAGGAAGATGACAAACTCCTGGTACCATGTAGAATCTATAAGCTCGCCACCAACGTGAAGGTAATAAATAAGTTTAGCCTCGAGAAATTTATTTAGAGGCAACTGAAAGAGTTCGACTGAAATACCGTAGCCTATCCACCGTACCTCGCAGAAGTAAAGAAGTATTTCTTGTTCTGGACCCTGAAGCTTGAACGACAAGAAGTTCAACAAGAAACAAAAAAACCTAAACAAAAACCAGAGAGACTCAACGATATTCTCGCCAACTTTTTTGTATCTCCTTGCCCACTCTTCGAGAGGAACGTAATTCAAGACCTAGGTAAAAAGCGATATACTACCGTTGATAATAATTATGCATATAATATTACCTGAGGTTATATTCTGATCGGCATCAGTAATTTAAGTGAGACAACATCTTCACGAGTTCTTTATTGCCATGGAAAAGATCTATCTGACTGAGGACCATTTAAAGCATTGCTTTCGCTATTAATAATAATTACGGTTTACCGCCTCATCGTGGCCGCAAGATGTTCCTTGGTGTCGGGCTGCGGTGTACAGCGGGGGGATTCGTCCCCGCGGCAGGTTCTCCCAAGCTGAGAAGGAGTCCGGCGTTTCCATCAGGAAGCCAAGCTAAGAGTAGACCAATACCAGGATCCACTGCCGTCCGGGTATCAAAATCGCATAGTGACAAATATCCCTCTGATCCACGGGGACCACGACGACACCCTGTGGTGGTGACGACTTGGGGCAGACCGTTGGCCGACTTCGGAATTCTAGGGAACTATAGTGGCTAAACCAGCAAAACTCCGAAAAAATAGAAAATATGCTGAGACCAGCAGAACCGGTGAAAACGGGCTGCACAAATATCCAAGTAAGTAAGTATCGTCACTAAATCCCTTATATTTACGTCATCAGTGCTGTACTCATTCCTAGCTTCGATGTCAGTTTTCCGTTCTATCGATTCGTCAACTTCAGAAAAGCGCTCATGAGAAGCACAAAATTCGTTCATTCCTCCATCAATCATTCAAAAAGAAATAACCTTCTATGACTATTAAACTCTTTCACAATTCCTCTTTTACATCAGCAGTTTCGTTAGCTAACATCCTAAAACTTCCAAAAACGATCCGCAACTCGGAAATCATCCTGCTGGATTTCTGCGTCTCTGCGAGATCATGCGCTTCTGACTCTGCCTGTGACAAAATGGGCTATCGTCTTTACCATCGACGGTGGGTTATCACTGTGCTAATCGAATCTCTCCCCAATGTATTACTTCTTATTTATTGCCTATTATTTTTTTCACATCAAGGTATGATGTGAAATACAACCAATGTGATGCCGAGATATTCGCAGAACTTAGACCCCGGCTAGATTCGAACTCGCGATTACCGTTTCCGCGGGGCTCACGTGTTACCCACTGCACCACTGGGGTCCTTGCTATGTGCTTCTCTCAGCCAGTTCTTTTTGCTCCAACGGTGACGTGAGCAATCACCCCAGCCAAGGGTTTTAGTCTTGCAAATATCTCAGCATCATGGTGGTTGAATCTGTTCATCCACGCGGACATAACTTATCATTCATTGACGAGGGAAAAAAGCAAAAAAAAGAACGACAGATTCACAAGACGTTTGGGAAGCAGTTGATGAGTGTTCATAGTTCATTACGGGGTCATGGTTTTGTTTTACAATGTGTCTTCATCCCGATCAAGCAAATATCAGAAAACGTGAAGAAGTCAATCCTGCCCTTCAAGTGTGTGCACTTGTATATGAAACGCCTTGTGCTTCATCGAAAAAACTAGTTGAATGACGTCGATATGGGATATTTCTCTGAGAACAGAGAGAATCGGTTACCTATGAACAAATAATGGACTAGTGGGACGAAATAAAGTTACAAAATCTAGGCTATACTAAATGTACTTATAAAGTTTCTCGCTTCTTCATAATTCAT